TTGGATCTCTGTATTCACTAATGTATTCCAAGAACCTTAAACCATGCCTGGCCACATATTATTCCTGGATGAATAGATGAATCAGTTACCCTCCTCACAGAGCATGTGATAGGAGCCCAGTGGATGAAAATCCTGGGGATGGGGTATATTGTTTATTTTGTTCTGATAAGTGTTTAAAAAAAAAAATACTGTGGTAAAATATCCTATATAATAAAGAGCTAATTTGCAAATTGTCATCATGCCATCATGGCTCAGACACTCAACACTGGGGAGAGAGGAATGGGGACCAGCCAGGCTGTGGCCCGGGAAAGGGACAAGCTGCCCACCCCATGGTCCCGGGCACCAGCAGCTACATCTGCACCTGTGGCCCAGGAGAGGGACAAGCCTGTGGCTGCAGCCTGGGAGAGAGACAAGTCGCCCACCCCACAGTCCTGGGCATCTGCGGCTGCAGCTCAGGCAAAGCCACCCGCCCACAGTCCCCTGAAGCTGCGGCTGGCCTGGGCGAAGCTGGCCTGGGTCCTGGGTGCCTGCGGCCGGCCAGAGGGAGGGAAGCCCGGGTCCTGGGTACCTGCGACCAGCTGGAGGAGGGAATCCTGGGTCCTGGGTGCAGGGTGAGGCAGAGGCAGTTAAGGGCAATCAGGCCAGCAGGGTGATCAGGCCGGTAGAGGAGCAGTTAGGGGCTATTAGGCAGGCAGGCAGGCAGGCAGAGGTGGTTAGGGGCAATTAGGCAGGCAGGCAGAGGGGTTAGGGGTGATCAGGCAAGCAGGCGAGTGGTTAGGAGCCAGCGGTCCCGGATTGCGAGAGGCAGTCAGACATCCCTCGAGGGGTCCCAGATTGGAGAGGGTGCATGCCGGGCTAGGGATCTCGTGCACCGGGCCTCTAGTACATAACATAAAATTTACCATTTTAAACACTTTTAAGTATACAGTTCTGTGGTATTCAGTATATTCACATTGCTATGCAACCATCACATACATCCATCTTTTTTCATCTTCCAAAACTGAAACTCTATACTCTTTAAACAAAAGTTCCCTATTACCCACTCCTGCAGGCCCTGGCAACCACCCTTTACTTTCTGCATTTATGAATTTGACTACTCTAGGTACCTCATATAAATGGAATCATGTAATATTTATCTTTTTGTGACTGGCTTGAGCTTGATTATCTTGTGGGTCATAAACAGGTCATTAGGGAAGAAAAGATTTCCTCCTTCTCCTCCTAGGATTCTCTGGTAGACAACTGTTTTATGGGAATTATTTGTGAATCTTAAGACTGGTTTCACTTATTCCTTGTTCATCTGGTTGTGCTAAGACATGTTATGATACCTGTTTGGAAGATCCCTTATAAGTAGACGGTTTCTGTACTCTTTTTTTCCCCCCAATATTTTCAACAATAAGAGTTATCTCCTATTTGCCAGACCTTGTTCTAGGCCTTGAAGATACAGTGGCAAACAAAACAAACTTCCTGTCTTTATAGAGCTTATATGGGAAAGATAGACAATAAACAAACATGTAATATGTTAGGTACTTATGAATGCTATAAATTAAATCAGGATAAGGGGATAAAAAGTGGCATGCCTAAAATGTAGCTTTATCAATCACACTTCATAAAAGAAGCATATCAACATAGTCTGATCTCAAATATGTAATGGAAAAAAATACCAGGATAAAAAGTTGTTAAAAATGTAAAATATTGGTATGAGTTATTTCTGGAAATGAGATTATAGATGGCATTTTTTTGTTGTTGTTTAAAGTATTACAAAGAGTATTACATATGTCTCCTTTTCCCCCATTGACCTCCCCCTGGCCTCCCCCAACCCCATGTAGGATCCTCTCTTGGTTTAGGCTGTGATTAAAACTGAAGACCATGTCAATATATTTTGAACTTAACTTGTGTCTTCCGTGTCCTAGGGTGCTGTAACACATTACTACAAACTGGTGGCTTAAAACCCTCCTGCCCCCCAACCCTCCCCGGCCTTCCCGCTGTAGTTTTACAGTCTGTTCGAGGCAGCTCTGCCTCTGTATCTATTTTTGTTCATAAGTTTATAATGGTCTTTATTAATCCATAAATGAGTGAGATCATGTGGTATTTTTCTTTCATTGACTGGCTTATTTCACTTAGCATAATGCTCTCCAGTTCCTAGATGGCATTTTTTTTATCATGCTTTCATGTATTTTTCCACAGTGTTCATTACCTTTATTCTTGGGGAGAAAAGGGTGTTAGTGAGGTCCCATTTGCATTTAAAGCCTGATTTTGCTGGCTCATAGCTCCTGTGTGCATCAATAAGAAGAAAGCCACCTGCTGAGTTCCTCTCCAAGTGTTATTCCTGGGACTCCTCAGCAGGTGTCTCACACTTGAGCTAAACAAGTTCACACTTAGTGACTCCTTCCAGTTTCTGGGTGGGCCTCTGCTTCATTTCAGTCATGATTGATGTCTGAGAAAGTTCTAGCCAAACTCTTATTAATTCCCTAGTTTGGGCAAAAATGCTTTGTCGTTCATACAGGATACATTTCCCAGTGTTTGGACCAGTGCTAAATAGGTCATTTATTCTGATGAAGAAAGTGTAGAAAAACTCTAGTAAGCTACAGTAGCATATGCTTCATACATAAATGCCATGTTTTTTTTATTCATTTCTTTTCCAAAGTACACTCCACAAAATTCCAGTCACTTCACAAAATTTCAGTCAGACTTGACCTAACTCAGCACTGTTGCCAAATGTTATGACTTCTTGTAAAAGCTGTGGGACAATGGCAGAGGAAAAGCATGAAGCTGATTTTTCAGTCTTTCCAGTGAAATGAACCCAACCCCTTTCCCTCATTACCTGTCTACCAATCAGGAGAGCATCTGCACCCTGATTATACCTCAGCTGCTGTGGAATCAGGAATAACAGGAAGAGGAGGAAAAGGAAGGGAAAGCCTGAAACACCAGCCATGACTAGGCTGGGCCCCAGCTGTGGGACTCAGCAGATATGTAGTAATAATAAAGCATGTTTCATAGCTCAAGCTCCAGGATTTCCTGTAACTCTGGACTTTCAACATCCTCTTCAGGCTCAGAGTTGTTGGTGTATCCCTAAAGGTCTGGTTTTGTCTATGATTCTCAGCACTCCTCTATACTTCCTCCACCCCATGAGTAACTTGGTGACAAATCAAACAAAAATAATATACAGGGGTGGGCAAAAGTAGGTTTACAGTTGTAATACAAATAAATAATATAATAATTAATACATAATAATACAAGAATAAATTGCATGTTTTGTGTACTCACAACTATAAACCTACTTTTGCCCACGCCTGTATATATTCTTTGCCCATCTTCTTGTTTATGCCCATGGTATACTCATTTTTAGAGTAAAGGCACACTTTACACATTTCAGTGAGTAGTTGGGCACAGTGTTCTAAACCTGATCTACACTAATAAAAGGGTAATATGCTAATTATACCAGGAGACCTTCATGGTGGCGGGGCCGAGGCAGAGGCGGTTAGGGGTGATCATGCTGGCAAGTGGGGGGCAGTTGGGGATGAGCAGGCCAGCGGGGGGGGCAGTTGGGGGCAATCAGGCCGGCAGTGGTGGCAGTTAGGGGTGATCAGGCCAGAAGGGGGGGGCAGTTGGGGGTGATCAGACTGGCAGGCAGAGTGGTTAGGGGCAATCAGGTAGGCAGGCAGGCGAATGGTTAGGAGCCAGCAGTCCTGGATTGTGAGAGGGATGTCCTAAACCAGCAGTTGGACATCCCCCAAGGGGTCCCAGATTCAGGCTGGGCTGAGGGACACCCCCCCCCCCATCCCCCGTGCACAAATTTTGTGCACCAGGCCACTAGTTTGATATAAAGATGAAGAGTTGAGGAAGGATAAGGAGATTTTTCTGCACCTCTTTGCTTGCTCTGTCTTACACTCTCTTTTGCAGATTTCTTTCCTCTCCTTCCCTTGTTTCTTTTCTGCTTTCCTATATCAAGCAGAAATTCCTATAAACATTCTTTGACTTTATTGGTGGCCTTATGCCTGAACAAGTGAAGCCTATCTCAAAGTAAATCAGTTCATTCCAGCCAGAAATGTTAGTCCATGTGGTAAGTGCACTGTAATGGAACAGATACTTTGTCATGCCTGTGGAGCAGTGGTTACATAATTGCTTTTGCAATTACTGTGCCTTCTGCCTGGAATAGCTTGCTTTCTCCTACCTTCATCTATTTGGCAGATTCCATCCCTTATTTAAAAGACCTAGCTCAAATGTTAGTCTTCTTTGATACTTTTCCTAATTCTCCCAGACAGTGGCACCTACGACATGTTTTTCATATCTCAAATAGCTCATTTAAGATGGTTTTATTATAGTTTGTTTACATCTTCCTCACTAGACTGTGAGCTTTCCAGGGGTAGGAACTCTATTTTCTTATTTTCCTAGATGTGCTAGTCAACAAATGTTTTTTGACCATTCATTTTTCATTGGCTAAGCCTTATTCCCTATTTTTAAGGACCTTAAAATCTAGTAAAGTGTGATATATCAATCATAGATAATTATAGTACAAACTAGAATGCAGTCAGTGCCACAAAAAAGGAAGAAATCACTTCTTGTTCTTGGAATTAGAGATGCCTCGGTTATTTCAAGCCTTGTGGATGAGGTAGCATTCAAATGGGCCTTGGAGAATAGATGTAAAATGTGGAATTAACGTAGTCTAGCTTTCTTTACTTCTTGATGTCGTTATTATAAATATTTTAAGTGCATGGGAGCTATATTATGTGACATGCATTCCAGAGTCCTAAATGCTTTATCTAGAGTTAGTTTACCTTTTTTCATCTTAAATTACTTATTAGTTGATTTATATAAAGAAATGCATTTATCTTGTAGGAATATCAATGTGCTCACTGTCTTTTTGGACTTAAGTCAGGAATTCAGGAACTAATATTTGGGATTAGATATTTTTCACCTATCTGAAATGTTACCAACCGAAAGAGGACATGAAATTTGATGTCTTTCTGTTTTATTGCATTGATTTTCTTTATTCGTTTTAGCCACAGACCCCTTTGCTTCTGTTTTTGGAAATGAATCATTTGAAGATGGATTTGCTGACTTCAGCACATTGTCAAAGGTATCCAAAGTGATTAGCGGGAAGGTATAAAATACATTGTTTCTACCAAAAGAGCAATTCTTCCTTTCAATTATATAACCCCCTCACAGACTTTGCAACTTGATTTCAATAATTCACAGCAAATGTTGATTTCAAATAGAAGTGGAAGATAAGATATAATTAAAGTAGATGTACATATTTCTATTCATAAAGACCATGGTGATAGCACAGGTAATTATAGTTTTCTACTGACAGGTTTGCTCAACAACTTCATTTTTAAGAGTCTTATGTATTTTTAAACACGTTTCTTCCAATTAAACTGCATTTTTCTCCTCTTGATTATCTGGGTCAATAGTTGTATAATCTGGGTATTCATTCCATCCTCTGCATTGGTTAATTGGCTTTTTTTGTTCTGAGGCTGCTAGGGTTATGTTAATACACATAGTCCAGCACTTACATGTCTTCTACCTATTTTCCAGGATAGCTCTAGGACTGATTGAAGCCAAAAGAGTAAAATTAGAATATATGTCAAATTGTCTGTGCCATTGGTTCTCAACTAGGTATAACCCCCCCGCCTATCCCCAGAAAACATTTGGCAATGTCTAGAGATACTTTTGGTTGTCACAGTTGGATAGGGGGACTATTCATATTTAGTGGATAGAGAGAAGGGATGCTGTTAAAACATCCTACCAAGTTCTTCCCAGTACCCCCACACCATAGAATTATGGCCAGCCCAAAATGTCAGTAGTGCTACTGTAGAGAAACACTAGCCTAAATAGAGCTAAAATCTTAACATCTGATTCATTATAGAAAACAGAATCTTTCATTACTCCATGTATTAGAAGGATAGGGTCTTCAGACTCACATTAAGACTAAAATTATGATTCCATGAGGTCAATTTGCTTTAAAAAACTGACTTTCAAGTTGTCTTTAATGTTCAAGAGGCTGTTTTAAAATGGCCTCCAGTGGTTTTGTATTGCCTGGAGCTTGACAAACCTTTGATCCCCAGATGGCTTATTTTGGTATAATCTTTTGCTCTTAAAAAATAGCAGTGTTATAATCACTACTCATATAGAACAATTAAAAAAATATTCCCCCTTTGGTCCTGAATGCAATGGTTAAAATGTCAGTGCTCAGAATTGAAATACATAAAGCTGCATAATACTGAAGACCATTCTTCCAAATGCTACATGTACAGCTTAATTGGTATAATATATATAACCATGCATAAACGTTTCTTTTCAAACAAAGGCTAACAATGAAGATCCTTTCAGTTCAGCCACACTGAACTCCGCCAGCAATGTGGTCCTTACAAAAAACGTGCTGGAGGAAGCACCAGTCACAAGTGAAGATGTACCCCCAGCACTGCCACCGAAGATCGGAACTCCAACAAGACCCTGCCCACCACCACCTGGTATGAGAGTTCCTAAATCAACAAGATGCTTTTTTTTTTCTTAAAGTATTGTGCGGGCCTTATTTATAGACTTACCTAAAGGGCCTTTAACAAAACAAGTCAAGAAAACATGGCAGGAGCCTGCTACTATCCTGTGTTCTGACCTCAATACAGAATTACAGACATGTGCCTAAGAACCCAGCATGTGTAACTGTCATGAACTACTTTTCTGGCACGTGCAAATTTCTTTTAAAATCATTTTAGAGAAGCAGTAAATGGAAAAAGGAAAGTATCTATGAAGTCTCAGTGGGAAGCCCATTGATTACTGTTTGAACAATGGTTTCCTGCACTTTGGTGTTTTAATTAATTTCTATAAGAGAAGATTAGTTTGAAGTCCCATTCTTTTCTTGCCAAATGTACTCCTTAAATTCTTTAATGTGAGAATATATGGCTTTTGGTATCCAGCATTTAGCAATATAGTGATTTGAAATAAATTAATTAATTGTTTTTCTTGAAGAAAAATCTTTTACCTCAGTTAATGAAAGATGCCTTGGTTTTATAAAAGTGATTTTTTTGGGATCTGGGAATAAATTCTTAATTTTTTATTTTTTTTAATCTTTAGCACTATCCAAAGAAAAGGGACCAAAAAAAAAGACTAATCCCCTGAGTAGTTGTGCTACTAGGTTGTTATGTGAGAAGACACATCTGGTACATTGTTCTTTTAATCATATATCATTCCTTGGGAAATTTTGAGCACAGGACTATAGATTACTATTCTTTTTTGTTGTTGTTAATCCTCACCCAAGAATATTTTTTCATTGATTTTTAGAGAGAGTGGAAAGGAGTGAGAGAGAAAGAGAGAAACATCCATGTGAGAGAGACACAGCGATTAGTTGCCTCTCACATATGCCTGGGGATCGAGCTTGTAACTGAAATATGTGCCCTTGGCAGGAATCAAACCCAAGAACCCTCAGTCTGCAGGCTGACACTCTATCCACTGAGTCAAACCAGCGAGGGCTTTTTTTTTTTTTTGAATGTTTTTATTGATTTCAGAGAGAGGAAGGGACGGAGAGAGAGAGAAACATCAATGACGAGAGAGAATCATTGATTGTCTGCCTCCTGCACGTCACCTACTGGGGATCAAGCCCACAACCCGGGCATGTGCCCTGACCAGGAATCAAACCATGACCTCCTGGTTCATGGGTCGATGCTCAACCACTGAGCAACACCAGCCAGGCTTGATTACTATTCTTGCCTTTTCATAATAACCTCCCTATGGTATTTCTTGGGACGATTATTTCTTCTTCCTTGATTTAAAGAAATTTCATCTTCAATTGTTAATTATCTGTTGAAAAGTTAGGTAAACAAGTGATTTCTATCTTTTAAGGAAAAGTAGCCTATATCATATATTGTTAGAGGGTAAGGTTGTCAGTCTATATATTAAACAAATAAGAGCAGTTTGCTCATTTAACTTTTAGAACTATATAATGCCAATAGTGAAGTTATTTTTTAAGTCCTAAATAAAATAATATACTAGTGCTTTAGCTAAATCTTCAGCAGAGTGAATGTATATCACTATAGAAAGATCAAGGAAAGGATGGTTTGTTGGAGAGAGTACTTGACTGGGAGCTCAAAAGTTTGGGTTCTAATTCTGAATATGCCCTGACGAGCTCGGTGATCCTGAGTGTGTAATTTCTGAGCCTCAGCTGTCTGAGCTGTTAGATGGTGGCAGTATTCTAATTTCGCTACCTTCACAGGATTGGTGGAAGGATCCACTGAGATGTGAAATATGAACATCTTTTGTAAGCTATTAAAGTGATGGAAGATATTTTAACACCTGTTCTTAATTTTCTTCAGGAAGTGTTAAATTTAAAACTTTAAAATTTGAGAACTTGCTTGAAAATTATGATGCTGTTGTTTGGTCAAAGATTAGTTTATCAGCAAACACGAAGATTTAGGCCCTGTGCTTCAAAACAGTCTCTTTATTCTTCAGTTTGATGTATTCTAGGTGGCAAAGTAAATTTTTAATTTCATGTTCCCAGATGTTATATATAGATGCAGAGAAAAATCAGAAGAATATCAGCATTTTTCAAAGGTCATTTGCCCTTACTGCCACAAGTGGGTAACTGAATCAGGCTGAGATTCTAATAGATGAGGCCATTGAAATTCTTTGTCATTCTCCTGTTATATCTTTTCTTCTCTCTTTTCCTGGGAACATGCTATTTTGGGGAAGAAAAGGGTTTACCCCAGGCAGAAATAGGAATCCTGACCGAATTTACCTACATGGAGCTGGAATATAGTTGAGAGGTTATGTGTGAAAAATTTGAAGATAGATGTTGGTGTGGCCATTTAAGAGCATATGGAGAATGTGTTTTGGGCACTCAACCCTGCCCCCCACCCCCAGTTCTTCATGCTTCCTGTGTTCATGTTCTTGTGTGTTTGTGTTTGCTGTATTTACTAGTTGAAAGAGAGAAACATCCATGTGAGAGAGACACAGCGATTAGTTGCCTCTCACATATGCCTGGGGATCGAGCTTGTAACTGAAATATGTGCCCTTGGCAGGAATAAAACCCAAGAACCCTCAGTCTGCAGGCTGACACTCTATCCACTGAGTCAAGCCAGCGAGGGCTTTTTTTTTTTTTTGAATGTTTTTATTGATTTCAGAGAGAGGAAGGGACGGAGAGAGAGAGAAACATCAATGACGAGAGAGAATCATTGATTGTCTGCCTCCTGCACGTCACCTACTGGGGATCAAGCCCACAACCCGGGCATGTGCCCTGACCAGGAATCAAACCATGACCTCCTGGTTCATGGGTCGATGCTCAACCACTGAGCAACACCAGCCAGGCTTGATTACTATTCTTGCCTTTTCATAATAACCTCCCTATGGTATTTCTTGGGACGATTATTTCTTCTTCCTTGATTTAAAGAAATTTCATCTTCAATTGTTAATTATCTGTTGAAAAGTTAGGTAAACAAGTGATTTCTATCTTTTAAGGAAAAGTAGCCTATATCATATATTGTTAGAGGGTAAGGCTGTCAGTCTATATATTAAACAAATAAGAGCAGTTTGCTCATTTAACTTTTAGAACTATATAATGCCAATAGTGAAGTTATTTTTTAAGTCCTAAATAAAATAATATACTAGTGCTTTAGCTAAATCTTCAGCAGAGTGAATGTATATCACTATAGAAAGATCAAGGAAAGGATGGTTTGTTGGAGAGAGTACTTGACTGGGAGCTCAAAAGTTTGGGTTCTAATTCTGAATATGCCCTGACGAGCTCGGTGATCCTGAGTGTGTAATTTCTGAGCCTCAGCTGTCTGAGCTGTTAGATGGTGGCAGTATTCTAATTTCGCTACCTTCACAGGATTGGTGGAAGGATCCACTGAGATGTGAAATATGAACATCTTTTGTAAGCTATTAAAGTGATGGAAGATATTTTAACACCTGTTCTTAATTTTCTTCAGGAAGTGTTAAATTTAAAACTTTAAAATTTGAGAACTTGCTTGAAAATTATGATGCTGTTGTTTGGTCAAAGATTAGTTTATCAGCAAACACGAAGATTTAGGCCCTGTGCTTCAAAACAGTCTCTTTATTCTTCAGTTTGATGTATTCTAGGTGGCAAAGTAAATTTTTAATTTCATGTTCCCAGATGTTATATATAGATGCAGAGAAAAATCAGAAGAATATCAGCATTTTTCAAAGGTCATTTGCCCTTACTGCCACAAGTGGGTAACTGAATCAGGCTGAGATTCTAATAGATGAGGCCATTGAAATTCTTTGTCATTCTCCTGTTATATCTTTTCTTCTCTCTTTTCCTGGGAACATGCTATTTTGGGGAAGAAAAGGGTTTACCCCAGGCAGAAATAGGAATCCTGACCGAATTTACCTACATGGAGCTGGAATATAGTTGAGAGGTTATGTGTGAAAAATTTGAAGATAGATGTTGGTGTGGCCATTTAAGAGCATATGGAGAATGTGTTTTGGGCACTCAACCCTGCCCCCCACCCCCAGTTCTTCATGCTTCCTGTGTTCATGTTCTTGTGTGTTTGTGTTTGCTGTATTTACTAGTTGAGTTAATTGTAATGATTTTGATCCAGGGAAAAGACCCATCAACAAATTGGATTCTTCCGATCCCTTTAAACTGAATGATCCATTTCAGCCTTTCCCAGGCAATGATAGCCCCAAAGAAAAAGATCCTGATATGTTTTGCGATCCATTTACTACTACTACCACTACCAATAAAGAGGCTGACCCAAGCAATTTTGCTAACTTCAGTGCTGTAAGTACTGTGAATGGGCTGTTTGGGGGAGAATCTTTCCATTTATAGTTTGAAGGGTTTTTAAAGATTATTTTGGAGTCTTCCAAATTTGTATATTTCCAATTAAATTTACTAACATACTAAAAGTGATCTTTATTCTTCCCCCAACCAAAACCTCTGTTTGCTTCTGTTAGGATGGTTCTAAAATTACTCCATTGCACTAGTGATTTTAGTAGTCTTAGTTCTTGTGATATATACCAGTTGTTGTAAACCCTTCTCTTCGTTTTAGTAAACAACATAAATAAAATCCTTACTATTGTTATTTTGTAAATTGTTATGGATGATGGGCCATTAGACAGTTATTTGCTCTCTGCCCACTGGGTAAATGCCAATAATGAGCTTGTGTATTTGTAACTGTGTGTGTGTGTTTGTGTATAAAGCTTTGTTGATTTCTGGAGACCAGTCAGCAACTATTATATGACAGGATAGGGCCAAGGACTCTTTGAATAGAAAGTAAAACTCTGGCTTTATATAGCTGTGCTTTTTAATGTCAATTTTATGAAATAAATATAATCATCAAGAGTTAAACAAATCTTTAATTATTTGGAGGGCGCTAATTCACTAGCCTTCCATATTTACTCTGCATGCTCCCAGAACTGACTAAAATAGGTAGATCAGTGAAAACAAATGGAAGGATGCTGTGATAATGGCATAGGCAGGGTCTGTAACATCCCAGAACTGAGAAAACCAGCTATGGAGGTGTCAACTCTGGAACAACATAAAGCAATGACCTTTTCCACCATTATTTGATAAGAAACAAGGATTTTTAAAAATTAAAATTCTTAGAGTAGCTAACAAAGTTTTATTTTCCCAGATTCTATAACAAAGGAATTTCCCTCTACTTATCACTTTAAGCCAGCGGTTCTCAACCTGTGGGTCGCGACCCCTTTGGGGGTCGAACGACCCTTTCACAGGGGTCGCCTAAAACCATCGGAAAACACATATATAATTACATATTGTTTTTGTGATTAATCACTATGCTTTAATTATGTTCAATTTGTAACAATGAAAATACATCCTGCATATCAGATATTTACATTACAATTCATAACAGTAGCAACATTACAGTTATGAAGTAGCAACGAAAATAATTTTATGGTTGGGGGTCACCACAACATGAGGAACTGTATTAAAGGGTCGCAGCATTAGGAAGGTTGAGAACCACTGCTTTAAGCCCTTGAGATGATTTTGGAAATAGGAGATTTAGACCCTGGTCGCAGTCTGTATGTCTCTGTCAGTGTAGCATTGGGTCACTCAGCCAGCAGCCATTTCTAGTTAGAAAGGAGGTAGGCAGGAATCTGCATACAACTAAGTCAGATGAATGAAACTGAGCTACCTAGGTTTTGAATCTGTACTCTAAGCACCAGTGGCTTCTTATGGATGTGAAGGAGCAGAATAGGAATCAGTATCTTGATTATTGGAAAATGGAATGTCAGGATTATACTGACCTAACTTTTGTTAGATGAAATTTGAGTTGTTTCAAGCATACAATCAAGAATTGCTCTTCTTAGGAGATTACAACCCTCTTCATATAAAATAACCTTCTGACAGTTTATGGCATTTAATATCTAAATATAATTTCATCAAATCAAAACCTGTTTGGAATGATTCTTGAACAGTAGTTGAGGCATTTTGCTTATTTCATACTCCACGATCTCAATATAGCATAATGTAAAGCAGCTCATAATAAGAATGTCTTTCTTTTTTCATTATGAAAGATTTGTTAAGTATTAAAAAATTTAAAGTCCCTCTAATTCCAAAGGAAAAAAGCTATCATTTCACCCTATTATGATATTCATCATGTTGTGGTATTCCTCTATGTGACAGAACTTGAAAGCAAGGAGTTTTTTTTTTTTTTCTGGCAAAGTATTAGCCACTCTCCAGATGCAATCCTGGGAGGTTGCAAGGAGAATTTTTTTACTTCGTATCAGCCAAGATTGCTTTTTTGGATAGATAAAACTATTTCCCTGACCTAATTACGGGTGTTAAGATTTCATTTAGACTCGGTCAAAAAGTTCTCGGTGCCTGCCAAAAATCTTTATAATGCATTTGAAAGAAGAGATTTGGTCCACATCTTGTTTAGTACTCTTATTTTATGTATAGCAGAATCATCACATTCTTTGCTTTATCGTTTTTCTGTACCTGAAGGTTAGATTAAGGGAGGGAATCACCGGTGGAATTAAGTTGAAAATGATTTATCATGTGAGGATGCTCAATGAAGGTGAAGTAGTAGATGTTTTATATTAGATAAAAAGGCTAGCCCTCTCCTGTTTTTAAATCTACTTAAATCACCTTAAGCATATACTTTTTTAAATGATTTTTTAATGTTTAGTTTTATAGACTTGCTATCTGTAAACTGCATTACTTTTTAAAAACAAAATTACATTTAGGAACGAGTAAAACGAAATGTGTTTTCAGGAAAAAAATTTAACAAGTAACAAGACTATTCCCAGAGTCCTTCAGGTGAAACAAGTAGTTAATATCATTTGTAGTAACTATTTTTCCTTCTTTTCTTTTTATTTGTTTTACTCATTAATCTGTTCATTTGTTCATTCATTCATCTTTTACACGGTAGTATCCCTCTGAGGAAGATATGATCGAATGGGCCAAGAGGGAAAGTGAGCGAGAGGAAGAGCAGAGGCTTGCCCGACTGAATCAGCAAGAGCAAGAAGACTTAGAACTGGCTATTGCACTCAGCAAATCGGAGATTTCAGAAGCATGAGGAATTCTCCTGTCCCTTGTCAACCATACAGTACTCTTCTCCCTGAATACTGAAGCTCTTTACAGTGTATATCGAAACTACCTATGAGCATAGGTTTGAGATTCCTGTAAATGTGACAAAAGTGTATTTGTCTTTTTAAAATTCATTTCAGATTTGTCTTCTCCCCACCCTAGAAAAGCAGTAACCCAGTCAGACAGCTTCACCTAGGTCCTTGTTCTCGTGTGCATTTACTGTGCGCTTTTGCCTGCCTCTGCTACTCTCACTTGTGAAGCTAGAGCACCTAAGCTTCTGCCTTCTAGGATATAGAGAAATAGCTTCACCCCTGTGCTACCCTTGTTCTGAAGTTACTCTGATGATAGCCAGTGGGGTTCTTAAAATTTGCAGTATTCTCCTCTAGTTTTAATGGGTGAGGGAGGGGAAGGGAAAAACATCCTATTTATGATAGTGCAGATTGGCTAGTTTAAAGTGCATGTTTGTGTTTCCATAGAATCAAAAGACTGTTTAATTTGTTTTTTATAGACAAGGAAAAATATTTTGCATAAATTGACTCCACTATTGAAAAGGGGATGCTTTAGATTGAACCGTCACAGCTTGAGACACAATCTTTTCCTAAATAAAAACATTAAAGCCTCATGTGTGAAACATATTAAATTTTTTTTCTGAATTTAAAGAATTTCAGATAGAAAGATACCTCTCCATACTTTTAAGTGCTAAACAGTGGAGAAAATTTATCATCTAAAATATACCCATCAGTATAAGGCAAGCAAAAATCGTAACATGGCAGTCATTCTGCCGGGCTGTGGCACTGTCCTCTTTAGTTCATGGCAGGTTTATTTTTGTACTTTTGCAGAAGAAACTTTAGCAAGCTAGAACTGGAAGGTACTTTAATTTTTTGTATGTATATTTTTTTTCCTTTAATGAAGGCTCAGTTACTTGAAATGTAAAAACTTTCACTGAATACAAATGAAAAAGTGGCATGTATTAAATCAAATTGCTCATTTTTGTGGTTTAAAGCAGTTTATTCTCTTCATGTTTTTGACTATGAAAATGGCAGGCTAGCAAAAAAAGGAAAAGTCTTGTTTTTATAATTGGGAGAGAAGAGACCTGCCAACTTATTAGAGCTCTTCGTGTGTTAAAAGCCCATCTCTTGTGAAACTGACCTAGCATACAAGGTAAATTTGAAATAGACTGTGAAGTGGGCTATAAATTTTAATTGTAATTTTTTCTCAACATCAGTTACTGACTTAGGTAATGTATTCAATACCTATTTACCAAGATAAAGAAAGATGCATCTAAAAATAAATTTAAAGTCTCTCTGGTTACCAAGTTAAAGTGATAGTGATCTGTGATAATCAGAGTAACATTGCTTAGCCTATGAATAAATTCTAAAATATCCAATTCATTTCATCTTGAAATGGTGCTTTTTTTCCCCTCCACACACAATTGGACTGCTGTAGTTTAAAACAAACTCAAACCACTTTCTTGCACTGCTTTTTTCTACTTTTGTAAATTGAAACAGCATAAAAAGCATACATATGAAGCAAGGGCTGAATCATAATCACCAGGTTTAATTTTGATAAACTGATACAGTGACTGAGGATATATACAAAAGTTGACTGAGAAGGTGGTGTTGGGAGTTGAGTGTTGGGAGTGGTTTTGGGTATTTTTCTTCCCCTTACACTTCAGGAAAAAGGTAAGTTGACTTGAACAACCTTCTTTTGCACTGGGAAAATGAACAGATGTTTGAAAAATATTTTTCTTAATTAAAAAAAAACACTCTGAAAAATATTAACTCTCTGTAACTTATAAACACCACCTTTTGATGTAATAAGTGTACCCTAATCTTATGTATGTTTAACTGGATTACACAGATTCTTACCTTTTGTTAAAATGTGTATACTCAGTGGACCATTATTATATTAAACTATGTATATATTATATAAATATAAATATATATCTCTATCTTTACACTCACCTGTGTAGGATGAATGTCGTAGAGTCATTTTTGATTATATTTTACACTGTTGACTCTGGCTCCACAGCCTGTGCTTGAAAAGGACAGATAAGTATCCTGAGAGCAAGTGGCACCACTTCCAAAGTGTTAACCATCTTCTACGGACTTGTTCACGTTTCTCTCTTAATAGAATTTTCTCTTATGTTTCAAACTTCTAAATTGTAGCCTGTAACTATGAGAACAATAAACTTTAAGTAATAATAAAACAATCCATACATCTTACTTGAAATGGAGTTTGTGGGACTGGAAGTTGCTCTGCGTGAGTGAGTGGGGAGTGAATTCTAGGACGTTACTGTCCACTACTGTAGATTTTATAAACACTGCCCCACAGGCCCTTCCCCTTCTCACAGCGTCAGAATTCGAGCATCAAAGCTGTCAGTGCTGCTTCATGATCAGGGTGTGGGCTGGATTGACTGGAAGTATCAGGGGGAGGAACTGGCCGGGTTAGGCGTAGATCACCATAGTAGTGACTGTCAGGAGGGAGTGAGAGATGGCCTGAGGACCAATAGGAATAAGAAATCAGGTTGGAGAGAGAAGATAAAGGAGCACAGGGGATTGTCAAGGCAATGTGGTTTTGGCTAGTACACATTGGAGCAATTGTAAGATTAAGGAACTTTGTTGTATTGATAAAAAAAAAAAAGTGTTGTGTTGAAGAGGTTCTAGAACTGATAACTCAGTATTTTGACTTTGACATTTGTTTTGGGTTCCATGGACCCCATCTGGCACAAAGGGCTCTCTCTGGCATTGAATCAATGGGAAGAAATGAAATTTATCTGTGCTTTACATCATTACAACCTGAAAATATTTGCAAAATACAGGGACGGGCTGCTCCACACTGTCATAGAACGCCTTTACTCAAGTGGCAGCGGCACTTCGTACTTGTTGAGGTAGCTCCTGTGGTCCGGTGCCCTTGTATGGGATCTTGGGTCCTTCACAAAGAATGTATAGCAGTGTCCTCTGCAGACCGTCAGGCTACATCAGGGAGGGCTATAGCGCCCTCTGAATATGGCGCACGAGGTGGGGGAAGACAGGCTCCTGTGTGCTGAACAGTCAGTGGCTGGCTGATTGGGATGTGATGTGTGCACTCAAAATTGAGGTGCTGTGAGTGAGAGGGAATCTACTGCCAAGCCCCACAGATATTGCTCCCATCAGAGAAAAAAGTATTGCTCCTCAAACACATACCCTTCCATTTCTTACAGCTCCATTCTAATCTTATGAGGCCACTGTCATGTATGCAGTCCAGCATTGACCAAAACATCGTTATGTGGTGCATGACTGTATTTTGTGGAAAGAGAGAGAAGGAAAACTAGCTGACACTTACTAGGGACTTCTCTAGGCCTGGCACTAAAGCTCTCAATATATTACCCAATCCTTACAACAGAAAACATGATTTATAAACAGATGGACGTGACGTGGCCAAGACCCCCCCTCCCCCCAATCTCATAGGGACCAAGCCAGGGTCCAGCCCAGGTGCCTTAGCTCTGAGATCTGCTCGTCCACAACACCAGGCTGCCTTTTGCACACCTAAGAGACTAAGCAGCAACCCTGGGCCCTCAGCAAGAGCTGATGTTCTCAAAGAAAGCCCTGATTCACTGCAGCTTCCTGAGGTTTCCTGCCCTAGCCGGTTAGGATAGAGCAGTGATGGCGAACCTTTTGAGCTCGGCGTGTCAGCATTTTGAAAAACCCTAACTTAACTCTGGTGCTGTGTCACATATAAAAATTTTTTGATATTTGCAACCATAGTAAAACAAAGACCTATTTTTGATATTTATTTTATATATTAAATGCCATTTAACAAAGAAAAATAAACCAAAAAAATGAGTTCGCATGCTTACACAGCCAGACACCATGCAAAAGTAGTCTTCCCTTTAAAATGGCTATGATGGTATGCCAAGTTTTTTCATAGCATATCATTACTAAAAGTGGATACAAATAAAAAAATAAAAATAAATGCCATTTAACAAAGAAAAATCAACCAAAAAAATGAGTTCGCGTGTCAGAGTTGTCATAGGTTCGCCATCACTGGGATAGAGCATGGGCCTGCAGACTGAAGGGTCCTGGGTTCGGTTCCAGTCAAGGGCACATAATTTGGTTGCAGGCTCCCGGCCCTGGTCAGGGGCATGCAGAGTCAACCAATTGATGTGTCTTTCTCACATCTGCATTTCTCTCTGTCTCCCTCTCCCTTCCACTCTGTAATTTGGAAAAAAATATCCTTGGATGAGGGTTTTTAAAAAAAAAAAAAAAAAAAGGGATTCCTGGCCTCGTAGAAAGAACCCAGACCTTGGAGTCTGATAAACATGGGTCTAATCTCTGGCCTTTCCGTTTCCTAGCTACACGACGTTGATTAAATCTCTCAACCCCTCGGTTCTCAGTGGTGATAACAGTTACTTCAGAGGGTTGTGAGGATTAAAGATGATGGATACAAAGTCTTCGTTCCTGTTACGTGGCAGTTGGCAGATGTTCACTAAGAGCTGTCATGTCCATGTTGAAGAAGACAGAAAAGCTAACAATACATTTTAGAAAAAATGTCTATGATTAAATGGAATAAACTTCAGTCATCTTGAAAGTTTATTGATCCAGAACAGGTTATTCACTGATTATGGATAAAAGTGTCACATAGTAAAAGTGCACATAACACACACTATGTGTCCAGGACTAGTCTGTATTGTTTGCATTAACTCATTTAGTCCTCACAATAATCCTTTCGATAAGTGCTGTTGTTACAAATGAGAAAACAGAGAGGTTAAGTAACTTGCCTGAAGTCACAACTATCAAGTGGTGAGGCCAAGATTCCAACCTAGGCAGTCTGTCTTGAGAGCAAAGGCAAGAATAAAACCTTGGGGTTGTTATGAGATTCAAACTAAGATAAGCGTTGGGAAAGAGGTTCATAAATGCTGTGTGCATTCTAAGTGTGTGTGTGGCAGGCAGACTGGGGCTAGGTTTCAGATATAGACTCAAATCTGGCGCTTGGGTTGAATCCTAGCTCTGCCACTTAATTAGCTGTTGTGATCTTGAGCAAGTTACTTAATCTTCTGCCTCACTTTCTTAGCTATAAAAATTGGGATTATAAAAGGAGACATGTGACAGGGTGGCTCTAATAATGAAGCATGTAAAGGGTTTAGAAAAATGCCTAACATGGCTTTAAATAAATGAGGATGATAATGAAGAGGATGAAGGAGAAAAGGGGAAAGAACAGGAAACTAGCTTTGAAGTGTGAGAACCCTGGGACCAAATCCCAGCTCCTAATCTGATCTCAGGAACATTTCTAAACTTCTGAGTCAAATGTTCTCAGAGCAGAGTTGTCAGGATTAGAAGTAGTGTATGGGGAGAAACCAAGATGGCGGCATAGGTAAACACTGGAAATTGCTGCCTCGCACAACCACTTCAAAAATACAACTAAAAGACAAAACGGACATCATCCAGAACCACAGGAAAGCTGGCTGAGTGGAAAGTCTACAACTAGAAGGAAAGAGAAAAACACACTGAGACTCAGAGGAGGTGCAGAAGTAAAGTGCAGAGGTATGAAGGTGCACGTGGAAAGGGCTGGCAACTGAGGACGCGGTTGTCTTTTTCAATCGGGAGGGAGACACACACTCCTGACTGCTCTGAACTCCAGTTCCAGGCTAGTCTCTGGGGACCCAGACTCATATGGGCGGAGGCGCACGCAGAAAGGGCTGGCAACTGAGGACTCGGTTGTCTTTTTCAATCGGGAGGGAGACACACGCTCCTGACTGCTCTGAACTCCAGTTCCGGGCTAGTCTCTGGGAACCCAGACTCATACGGGGAGTAAATGGACTGTCTGGCAGCAGGCAGAACATGAGGGCGGCTTTCTCTCAGAGGTGCTTGCAGC